GACTGCATTACTGCAGAAGCTGCACTGATCCGCCTGTCAATCTCCCGTTCCATCCTTCCCTCACTCGTGAACAAGACCCCAAGATACTTGAACTCCTCCACTTGAGGCAGGAACTCTCCACCAACCTGAAGGGAACAAGCCACCCTTTTCCGGCTGAGAACCATGGCCTCGGATTTGGAGGTGCTGATTCTCATCCCAGCCGCTTCACACTCGGCTGCAAACCGCCCCAGTGCATGCTGGAGGTCCTGGTTTGATGGGGCCAACAGGACAACGTCATCTGCAAAAAGCAGAGACGAAATCCTGTGGTCCCCAAACCGGACTCCCTCCGGCCCCTGGCTGCGCCTAGAAATTCTGTCCATGAAAATAATGAACAGAACCGGTGACAAAGGGCCGCCCTGCCGGAGTCCAACACGCACTGGAAACAAGTCTGACTTACTACCGGCGATGCGAACCAAGCTCCTGCTCCGATCGTACAGGGACCGGGTAGCCCTTAGCAAAGGGCCCCGGACCCCGTACTCCCGGAGCACCCCCCACAGGGCGCTGCGAGGGACACGGTCGAATGCCTTCTCCAGATCCACGAAGCACATGTGGACTGGTTGGGCAAACTCCCATGAACCTTCCGCCACCCTGAAGAGGGTATAGAGCTGGTCCAGTGTTCCACGGCCAGGACGAAAACCGCATTGTTCCTCCTGGATCCGAGGTTCGACTATCGGTCGAATTCTCCTCTCCAGTACCCTGGCATAGACTTTCCCGGGGAGGCTGAGGAGTGTGATCCCCCTATAGTTGGAACACACTATGTCAGAGAACTAGAAAGGAATAAAAGACAACCAATACAATAGCTATAGTTGCTGACGCCACGTTTGCTCTTTTGTGTGCCTATGGTTGACATCTGTTCTAGTCACGTAAAAGACATCACAATGATGTATTCTGCAAGAGCAATACTCACGCTGTGCAAGAGAAACACAAATGTACACTGGGGACAAGCAGTCTGGGCCAACAGGCAGCCCACTCGCCTGAGTCCAGGACGGTTCCACGTTGCAGTGCAGTGACGGCAGTAGACACACAACAGACACATATTTATTTCAGGTCACTGTGTGTCGACCAATGTCCAGCTGTGACAAACCGAGCTAGGAAAATAACCTTGATATGAGACTATTTGTCCAGGAAAACAAAAACTGAGAAATAACTGAGGGTGGTTTCACATTAGGGACCTGAGCCCGGATCAAAGTACACTTAACTCCAAAGTCCGGTTAATTTTGATCAGTGTGAAGCAATTTTTGGTTTTACTCTTTATGCATTAAACTGTAGCTTAGTATGCATCAGAATGAGTTGAACCTTGTCACACTGAATGTATGAACTTTCAGCTTTTCTGCACAGCAACAAGATGTAGCGTAACTTGTCCTTGAAAGATCTACTCCCTCATTAATGTATCTCTCTGTACCAGGACGAGGATCTCTGTCTAGTGAGAAGCACATGTGCATGAATGTTATCAGTACACATTCCTTTCTTCTGATGCTTCCAAACCCTGTGTAAAGCTTATATATATATGTGACTGAATTTCCTCTGGGGGGAGCCTCTCTAACGGACCTCTCAGAGTGATGCTGTAGACTGCTCCTGTTTCTTGCAAGAAATAAAGCACATATCTATCTCAGTTCTCTTTATTTCACAATCACTAAAGGTTGTTCACTTTAGTACAGGTAAACAGGAATTTTTACATCACAGAACTATTTGAAGAGGCAGACTCGAGCACGATTCATGTGTACTTGGGCATGGTCCACGGGGGATGTGAATGCAACTGTGCTCAAACAAGGAAGTGCTCTGTTATGTCATGTCATAAGTATTTGACTCTGTCAGTTTAAACATTAACAAACACAGCTGTGTAAGTATCTCTGTGGAGTAACAAAGAAATAAAATGCTCGCTTGGGCCGATGTGAACATACAAAGACAACTGGAGACTGGTCATTGTTTGCGTCTCAAAAATAATAAAATCATCCAGAGTAACAGAATTGGCTTAATTTTCCACATAGAAGAGAAACAAATATTGCCCAGATGATGATATGAGTGGCTGTTTCTTCTTGGCGTACTGCAAACCACTTATGTGCATACTGCCACCTACTGGGGCACGGAATGATATCACTAAAGTGAAAGCAGACCTGTTGGGGGGGTGGGGGGCAATCATTCTCTGGCACAGTACGTAACAACTGTGTCTAATGTGTAAGCACCCTAAGTTTTTCTGCAGCAGTTTTAAGATGCTATTTATTACCTTAATGTTTATGTAATTTAACCCTCTACTGTATCTTATAGACTGTATTCCACCTGTATTACATGAAAGCTGTATTGCTGTGTTTTTTGCCAGCAGATGTCCATAGTGATGATTGTCATGTTCCTGGTGGCCTGGTCTCCCTACTCCATGGTGTGTCTCTGGGCATCTTTTGGTGACCCCAAGACCATACCTGCCCCCATGGCTATAATTGCTCCACTTTTTGCCAAGTCCTCCACCTTTTACAACCCCTGCATTTATGTTATTGCCAACAAAAAGTGAGCATTTTCTCTTCATTATTCTTTCATTTTAATGTGCCTGTTAGAGGTGGTTGTGTTAGGTAGAGTGGAGGTGCTTTGTTTAATTCTCTACTATATTTAAGTAGTAGTGACAGTTCATTCATGGGCATAAATTACTTTTTCCTCTAGGTTCAGAAGAGCCATTATAGGGGTGATCCGGTGTCAAACCAGGCAGCGAATCACCATCAATACCCAGGTTCCTATGGCAACTTCCCAACAACCCGTGACACAGTGAGATGAAACTGCCTCATTACTCTACTGTATTAACATGTCCTGGCATTAAAACTATGCATTGAAGATTGCTATGATAAAATAACATGACTCACTGCCAGTGTTTTTCTTTCTACTGTAGCAATTTTTTTGTTGAATAACCTAATGCCTCGTGATTTTTACTGTGTACAGTGCTTGCTGTTACACTGTAGTCATTGTTTGTGTTCCAGTTACTTTAGTAAGAAAAGGACAATAAAATATTTGTGTGGATGGACTGCATTTTTCAGCTACTTGCCTGAATATTAACTCATTACCGGAAAAGGCCAAAGCAAGAAAATTCATTATGCTTCCATTAGAGATACTATAGGATTACATTCAGTGATACTGTCGTCTCAAATAATAGTTACTAGAAGTACAGTAAGGTCAGTTCTATGAATATCTGTGTTGCACAAAAACGAGGACACATCTCACATTTACAACTAGGTGCACTCCAGAATGTGACATCACTGGAGGTTAGTGTGCACCAATGTCACATTTAAGGTGCATTTCCAGCCACACTGTTAGGGTTCATAATGATAGGACCCAAAATGCAGACCCAGACTGGTACGAAGGTTTAGATAGTCTTTATTAACAAGACAGAAGTTCAGAGATTAAAGGAACAAAACTTAGAGGCGCTCAACTCAGCGCTGATGTTGTACCATTGCATAAAGGGGGCTCAATAACTTTCACCCTATATCAAAATTTTCCTGTCTGGTTAAAATATTGGAAAGGCTTGTTAAAGTCCCCATGGCACTTGTAAGGTGCTGTAATTTGTGAGAGAGTGAATAAGCTGAGCCTCAGAGTTAATAAATGTGCATTTATAGTATGGATAGTTGTGCACAGCAGATGTATTTATTGAGTACAGAATATATTTTTATTTTCTCAAACTAAATTATTCTATGCGTGATACTAATGTATCTTTGAAATGTCACTTGTGTGTGCAAAAAAACAGTTTCCTGTGCTCAGAATGTACCGTTGTGTGCTCAGGAATAAGGCACAATACTAGCACCATAGTCTAACTATTACTTATGCAACAATGGCGCCTGGAAATATTCTGTACATTGAAATATACAAATATTCTTTATAGCAAATTTGATGGTCTTTTGCATTTTAGTTTTGATCCACTTGGAAGGGGAATCCAAAGTATAAGCAGTGGTGTTAAAAGTATTGTGATCCTTAATTAAATCTTGTAATATCATCGATTCCATCCATTCATCCATCATCTATAAGTGGTTATACTTGAGGGTCATAGGGAGACTGGAGCCAATCCCAGCTGACGCTGGGCCAGAGCCAGAACATGCCCTGTACACCAGTCAATTACAGGGCTGACATACTGTATAGACACATACACTCTCAACTATAAGCAATTTAGAGTCACCAGTTAACATAACCTGCATGTTTATGGATTGTGGGAGAAAGCTGGAGTACCTGGAGGAAACTCACTACAATAACATGAAAAAAAGGTAAAACTGACACAGTCACTTTTGTAAAAATTTATTTCTTCATCGTCAGTGTGTCAGCACTCTTACATTGACATTTTGTTAGCATATTGCTTACAAATATCTGGCGCTCATTATGTGAGGATGATGCCCGGAGAACGGTGCAATTTCTTTGTGTGAGGCACACAGAAACAATGTGAGTTTACAACGAACGCACTGTCATATAGGTAAGAATGACAATCTGTGCTGCTGGTGGAAAACACTCACTATGCCACTGTGCCAATGGATCTGTGATCATGAGAATTCCAACACCTGAGGTTTAAAGTCATTTTAATTATATTCAAAAGTTATCATACAAATATTTGTTTTTGTGACTAAGATGTCTTTTACCAGTTAAATTTTTACAAAAATATTCTGAAGAAATTGTAATAAAATGCTTAAAGTACAAGCAGGTGAAGGGCTTGTGTGTATTCTGGCTAGGAGCAAAAGATCAGAAATGATTCACAGTAAAGCTAATGAGTAAAGGGGTGCAATGAAAGAAAAATGGGCAGCTGATACCTTCCTAGCTACATAATGGGAAAACATCACAGTGCCACGTTGCTCTCCAGCCACACTCTGATCTCATTCTCATTCTTCTTTATCCATTCAATGTTGTTCCTCACCGTCTCCAGTGCCTGCTGCCTGGGCATCTCCCCAGCGCCGGCATGTGGTGTTAGACCGAAGAAATGCTCCATCTACAAGACCAGCAATAGAAAAGAGGCCTGAGCACAAACCGTCAACCTCTACTTACAGTAACCTAAACAATATCACAGTATCAAACATTCCCTTAGCTCCCAGTTAATTGTCATCTAAATGAGGCATTACCTCCAAAACTTCAACTATAATAATAGCAACCTATGTCGCTCTGGACGCAAATGCGAAGCTTGCTATGACCGAACGTCACGCAGCCATTAGCAAACAACAGACTGCACACCCAGTGTGCAGTCTGTTGTTGTGGGTGATTTTACTCACTCCAACCTAAAGTCAATGCTTCAATCTAGACACAGGGGTTGCAAGCCAGTGACTTATGCGCCAGTC